CCATGCAGTATTTGTCCTTTTGTGACTGAGATACTTCACTCAGCATAATGTCCTCCAGGCTCACCCATTTTGAATAATATTGCATGAGTTCCTTGATTTTCAATGCAGTGTAGTATTCCATTGTGTGACTGACTATACCACAGCTTCTCTATCCATTCGTTTGTTGATGGGCACTTAGGTTGTTTCTAACTCCTTGCTATTGTGAACAAAGTCCCGATAAACATGGGTGTGCATGATGGGTTCCTCTTGCCTGGATTTTCCGGGCACCCGAGAAGCCATTGCTGGTTGAGTTGCTACTCTTTTGTCTTATTCTCTTTCTCTCCTCCCTCTGGCTTGGCCTGAGCCTCCTGTCACCAGAGTGGGGGCAGTGGAGAGAGGGTGAGCCCACTTAAAATGCGGGCTCTTGAAGTAGCCCTCCTGGCATAGTGGTTAGAGTACCAACTGCTAACTAAAATTAGGGCTCCTATGTAGCAAGTCCAGGGAGCTCTGTTGGCTCAGTGGTAAGGAATTGAACTGCTAATGTAAAGGTACGTGGTTCAAATCCACCACCTACCTCTCTCTTTTTCATACTGTGATGGTTGGTCATTCAGAAACCTGTGTTACTATTATTTCTACTGATAGGGTCATCTATCATGTGGACTGATGTCCTTTAGGACAGGAGTGTCCCTTATTCTTTGTCCTCGGTACTCAGGACAGGGCCAAGGGCAGTGCAATGAGAACACCCTGGGTTGCATCAATGTTTACTATTAATAAAAAGGTCAGAGGTTCAAATCCATCCAAGGGTACTTTGGAGGAAAGGCCTGGAGATAAAATTTTGAGAATTTAGCCACTGAAAACCCTGTGAAGCACACTTCACAGAGCACAATTGCTTTGACACATGTGGAGTCATCTTGAGTTGGAGTTGGTGTGACGGCTCTGGGTACAGTGAGTTCTTGGAGCCTTACCCTACAGTTTGTTTGGCTGGACTCTGAGGTGTGATTTCAGGGTGAGGCTCTGAGCTTGCAGGGCAAAGCAAAGGGCCTAGAGATTGACTGGTAGGCTCCCTAGGCTCCCTGCCTGTAGACAATGCCTTAAAACGCAGGGAAAGGAAGTGGCCGCCTCCTCGCTCCCCAGGCAGAGCTGGGCTTGGAGGAGCACCCCGGCCTCACCGTTCTTCATCCCCACCCCTGCCCACGTGTGGTTTACTTTCCCTCCCGCCATCTTGTGTGGTGCACCCAGTTTCGGGCCTCGTGTGCACTGGACATGCAGCAGAGAAAGGACAGCAGACTTCTCTAGGGGAGCTGTGTCGAGAGGGGGAAGCTGGCTGTTCACACTCACAGCCTTCCCAGGGCGATGGGTGTGAAAACGGGAAGTGTGGTCGTGGGAGCATTGGCAGTGGGCAGTCAGGCAGGGTCCTGGGAAGTGACAGTGAAACTGGAAGTGGGCATAGGGAACAGTGTTTCTGGAAGAGGGAACATTATATGTAAAAGTCTAGAAGGAAGAACTGAGGGTCAGCCAGGGAGTGGGAGGGTCCTGTGTATGCTGGAGCTGGCTCTGGGTGAGGCTGGAGGGACAAGTGGGCCAGCACAGCCAGGACACCACACAGCCACTGCAGGGTGGGCTCCGGGACAGGGTGGAGACGACCTGTGGTTGCTGCCTTCAGGTTGTGGGTCGGCAGCCGGGCACTGAACTGCAGTGTCCCATCTGTACCGGGGTAGAGAAGCACCTCCAGGTGGGCCAGCCCTTCTCTGCTTCTCATCCCGGCATAGACTCCGGGAAGGTCTGTGTCCCTTGGTCTGTAACGCCTGTGATTCCTCCAGTGAAAGCTCCCTACCCCAGGCTGCCTGCAGGCAGGTGGCACCAGGAAAAATGGGAGCTTCTGAGACGTCTGGTGTCCATGTCCGTCTGGTCATCCCGCTGGCCCACTGTGCGTCAGAGACAGGAGGACAGGTGAGGTCCCAGCTCTTTGGAGGCAGAGCCCAGATACGATCCCAGGAGTCTGTGACTCCAGATATTGTGCCTTTTCCAGTGGATAGGCCATGTGGGAGGGGCAAGCAAAGACCAAGGTGCAAGTTAATGAGATGGGCATCGGCACTGGGAGTGGGAGAGCTTGGCCAGACTCATTTTTTTTAACTTTTTATTGGCATTTGAGTGAGAGTTTGCAGAGCGACTTGCTTTTCCTTTAGTAAGGCATACCCATTTATCATTCTATGTATTGATCCCCATCCTCCCATGGTAAGAGCACTCGACCTGCTCCCTCCTTGTATGTACCACTTCCACTCACCTGTTCTCTCTATCCTTTCCTGCCTCTGAACTGTATCCTCGGGCAAATGCTTCCAGTTTGATTTTGTCTAGTTAGTTGTTCTTCACTGCGGTTAGCATTCACTTTTACGGTCCTGTCTGGTCTGTTGGTTACTGAAAGTATAGTCCTTGGGGTGATTTAGATTCCAGGCTTGAAGAGACCAAGACTTGTAGTCAGTAAGCCTGGTCTTTTTTATGACTGAGTTTCATTCCACATTATTCTCCCACTCTGGAAGGAGCTTATTTCTGGAAGGAGCTTCTGCTGTGATTCCTTGGGACCCAGATAAGCTCCTCAGTCACTCTCAGCATGTTGGGGCCCACACAGAGCAGGTGGGCAGATTTCTCATTCTACCTGCACACTAAGGTGACCAATTGTGGGATCCATGCAGATCTCACGTTAGTCTTCTTTGTTTCGTTGTTGTTGTTGTTATGTGCCATTGAATCAAAACTGACTCATAGCCGACCCTCCAGTGCCTTTTCAGAGACTTTAAATCATACAGAAGATTGCCCATCTTTCTCCCACAGAGCAGCTGGTGGATTTGAATCACATGCCTTTGGGATGACAGCATAGTTCCTTTCCCTGTAGGCCAGCAGAGTTCCCTGTTATTTTCACCAGATGTTTTGCTCATTTTGTTTGGATTATCCGGCAGATTCTCTTTTAAGTACTCGATGCTATTAACTGCTGACATGTCAGGATGTCCTTGTGCACAAGGAGACAGAACACTCCCTGGTCTTGCACAGATCCAGGGTCCACTGTAGATTGGGTTCCCATTGACTGATTTTGGGAAGTAAGTCACCGAAATCTTTTTTCCAAGCCTGTCAGTCTGGAACCTCCTGAAACTCACTCAGCCTCCCAGCCACACACACGTCTTCGCTGACAGATGGGTAGTGACTGTGCACAAGGGGCATTGGGCAGGATTTGAACCTTGGTCTCATTTATGGGTGGTGAGCATTTTACCACCAAGCCATCAATTGCCTCTCGTCTGTAGGACTTCCAGCTTCCAGTCTTCTGTGCAATTCCCCTTTTTGTCTTCTGCCTTGTCATCCCTTGTTAGTGCTGGAGGGTGGGACGTCTCATCTGGCCCCCTCCTCACCGTTTCCTGAGTGCCTGGGACAGTGCACAGTGCACTTCCGGTTCCTCTTTGTGA